CCCCACCCAGTAACAGTGACTATAGGGGATAATAGGGATTATATTAGGGTCCTCTTATATTCCTATTATACCACTATTACAGGGTGGGGGGGGTCCTCCTAAGGCATTCTCGGTTGTGACCGTATCGAGCTTTGGAATGTAGTGGCCGGACCGAGCAGTTGCACCATGTTATACCACGTTGCTTTATTGATAGCAGGTGCTGGACCCTCTCTGCGGTGCTTCTCTTCATCAGCTTCAAATGAAGCCAAATTTTGCCTGCACGTCGCCATTGCAAGCAATTGCAGCCTATTGAAAGAGAATATCCCTCATTTTTTGCTCTATGTTGCACTGAAGGTGAATCTTGAACAAAACACTCAGATCTCTAGGCTAATGTTGTCAAAACATATCATACTTGGCGAGGTTCACGGTCTTTTTTGGGTAACAAATACAGTTGTAGATTGTAGTTGTAGTGAGATTGGGTTGAAGATTACACTGAACCCCCTACTACCCTTGGCACTGCCAGCCTTGATCTCGCCTTGATTTCCTCCGGGTTGGCCTGCAGCCATCAGCATTGGGGTTCAGGGTCTAGGGTGCTAGCTTCCCATGCCGGCTGTGCCACAGTGCAACCATCCCTGTGAAGGCGTCCTGCCCGTGAGCAACTGTTAGTGCTTCCTGGATATGCTATTGGCAGGCAGAACGCTCATGGTCCCTTTTGCACCATGTCGCACACGTGTTTAAAACAGTCAGAATGTACATCAAGGGCAAATGAGTGCCCAGCTTAAACTGTGTGCCTCAGCATTAGGTGCTGATGCGATGTGTACAACTTGACTCAGCGACAGGTTGTTTCGCCGTTCATGAAGTTGTAGCGGCAGCAAGTAAGCATCAACGACACGCCCTCAGTGCGAGAGCACTTGAACGGCCCCATATGCTTGCCAAAGACGCATTCCGGACCAGTTCCGTCTACGGAAATCTGGGCCACGGCACCAACTGAAATGCCGATGCTGCAACCGCCGGTTCCACAGCAGAAGCTCCCCCCCACGCCCACACCAGCACGGGCTCCGCCAGTTCCAGGGCCAATCGAGATGCCAAAGCCAATGCAGACAGAGGCAAAGGGCTTGGCCTCATCCTGGACCAATTTCTTCAGGTCAGCCCCAGAGCCTGCGGTCAGCCCGAAGCCTCCGCCGGCATTGGTCCCAAACGATTTCCCGTAGCCAATGGAAGAGTAGCGGCTCGTTGCGCCGAAGCACTCAAAGACGTCCGCAACGAAGTCTGCCACCGCCTACCACAATCTGTGATTCGCGCACCTATACACACTTTTGCATCTACTCTAGACTCTACAGTAGAAGCTGCACAGAAAACTAGTCTCGACTGCAACATACTGCAAACACAGCGCTGGACAACGACACCCCTGAAGATCTACAACCCTGAGAGCCCAGACCTTTCTCGACTGGCCTTCACCACAGCTTTCACTGTATCGACGACGGCCTTGACGACGGCCTTCCACCACCTTCGGCGGCTGCGTCTTCTTCTGCGGCTCCTTCTCCTGCGCCGACGGCGCCGACGACGGCCGAACCACTGCTCTCCGGAAACCTCCTCACCTTCCAACAAAGCCAGCTGCGCATGCTCAGGGTGCTGGTCCAGAGGTCCGTCTCCCTCCTCCTCCTCCTCAGTCTCCGAAACCGGCATGTCATCTTCGAAATCCTCGTCCTGCAGGAACTTCTGGTCATCCGTGATCTCCATCAGCCCGTCGGCTGAGATCTCCTGCATCAACGAAAGCGCCGCCTCGGTGAAGCGAGCATGCCTCCCCCCCTTCTTGCTGGGCGCCCACATCTCACGCAATTTCGCAACGTCATGCGCCATGGCAATTTGATTTTTGCATGCGGTTCAAACAGCAGATCTCAAGTTATCTTGCGCCCACCGTTTCGCCGTCTTGTGCGCGTGGGCATCTGAACGCATTAACAATGTGCATGCATATCAGGATGATCAACATGTGGGAGGAACTGTTTGCTGTTGCACCCGCCCGTGCACGAGCTTGCATGCGCATGGGTTTTTGCAACGCATTGCAAAACTCTCACGCCGAAGCTTGTCTTGCTACAAGGCGCGGGATCTAGAAGGGCATCCACATACGCAAACAAAACTACAATGAAGAGACTACTGCAACACTGGAAAGGATCTTTTCGATCTTCGTCTGCAGCTGATGCAAAAAGTAGTCATGGCTAGTCAGTGCAACTGCCCTTGCTATCTACCAGAAAATGAAATAATCAGGCGCAGGGCCCTTTGCCCATCATGGTACAAAGCCTGCCTCTTTGAGGACGAATGTCGCTTGCCTTCATATACCCATGCACTCGGCTGCTGTCTGGGCCCCCCACGTGGCTCGAGACGTTACCCTCGGGGTTGCGCTCCTTCCAGCTTTTGTAGAACTTCCCGAACTCCACGCGATCCACCCATCGAAGGGCCTTGGTCTCGTTGTTCAAGATGACGGGCATGGGGAGCAAATGGTTCAAAACGGCCCGGCGAGTGATCTCGGCGTAGTGCCGGAAGGCTTCCTCGGAATGGGCATGGGCATCGCTCCTGTAGAACTTGTCTGCGAAGGCAGCACCATGCTTGTTCGTGAACCGCACCAGCTCGACATGGAGCTTCTGACGGCTCTTGATATGAGCGTGCAGCTGGGAGGTCGAAGATCCCTGCATCAGTGCCATGGAGTGACGGTGCGACGCCAAGTGGATGTCCAGAAAGTTGGTGTGGTCGCAGCCAAGCACGTTGCAGACTGGATGCCAAGCTTCCTCCAGGCGATTCACCGTGTGATCCAGTGAGGCATTCGTAGTGTGCTCCGCCAGGATCTGGTGTGTGGAGCGGGTGGCATGGTGCATGGCCAAAGACACGGCCGACGTCTGCGACGAATCACTCTGGAGCAAAGAGGCAGAATGATCATTGGAATGATCGTTCTCATCGCACACGAACTCTGCCGGAATGTCAAAGTCTGCACCGATCTCGGTTGGGTCCTCCGATCCGAGACCATACTTGATGGCTTCCCAGATGATCGTCTCGAAGCGCGTCACCTGCTCCAGAATGGAAGCATACGCTTCCTCTGGCATGTATTTGGGAACGTCACGAGAGACCAGGCACACGGCAATATCAATGCAACTCGGGATGTATATCTCTGCATGGAAAGGGCAGAAGCGTGAGGCGTTCTCACCCATGGCCTCGTGAAGGACCTCATAGAACCCCTGGACCTTGTCATAAAGCATCAGCAGGTCTTGATGAGGATCCACGCCAAAGTAATAAGTGAGGTTTGCGCTGTGGGGCCTGTCCCTCGAGTTGATCAAGCCGGAGTAGTTGGAGAGGTTGGTCAGAACCAGAGACAAGGCCATCGATAAGTC